CGCGTTTTACGCATAAACCTAAAGTCTAAACTATATGGAAAAACGATCGATCATAACAAAGAGATGGACTTTATGACACACATATACCTATACAGTCATTTACTTTGGCCAGCGCAACGTCAATGTTATACCGAAATGCAGCAATTGCATTTAATTCTACGAGCGGGCGCATGTCGCCAAGATGGAAAGCGGCCGCGTTGTTTCCTTTTGCAGCTGTTGCACAACGTTTCCTGCCAGCGGTGATGCGCCGTCGAGCGAGGAAACAGCGAGGATGTTGTCGGTGGTAGTTGGCTCCTCTAGTCAACGCGTTTATTTCACTTTCTCTTACCTCCTCTCTCTCTCTCTTTCTCATCTTCTCAGTTATGTTTGGAGCTTTCTCGTTGGGTGTCCTCTCTCCGTCCGCTCGCTTGCGTACAAGTTTTCCCCTCTCTCGTTAAGGCAAACCTTGCCGCAATTTTCTTAAGCTTATTCTTCTGGCTACTTTAGTGAACAATGTCCGATTCGGAAGACTTGTTGGAGTTTATAAACACGAACATTTTGCACGAGTATTTACTATTTTTATTAAAGATGATAATCAGTCGCAATTGTCAAATATAATATCCGTTCTATCAATAATTGAAATTGAAATTGGATGGCTAACGATAATCTGGATTGCAACGCATCTATTTTTAATAAAAATAAAAATGGAAGAAAAATTATTATTTTTAGAATTCATGTCTTCATTTTTTAAATTTTATTTTATTATCCGTAAATTAATGTGGTTTAATTTGGTTAATGTGAAATGAAATATTAATTAAAAGATTAATATTGGATTATTGAGGAATTAAATATAACTTTAAAAATGTTCAAAGGTAGGCACACGTGCGAAGACAATATAAACACAATTCAAATAATTTTCAATACTTGATAATAAAAACATTGATATTTTCAAAAGATTTTATCAGCATGACTTTATGAATAATTAAGAGGTATTTAATTATATGCATTATAGAAATATGAACAGCAAAATATTAATAATGTTACTTATTGTATTATAGTGGTTATTAACGTAGAGAGCAATGATATATTAATGAAATTTATTAAATGGATTTTATATTATGAATATTTAAAATATAATATTCGAAATTGTAATTAGATATAAAAAGAGATTCAATTAAGATAAACAGTTACGTGCATAAAATATATTATCTTCTATCGCATTATTCCACATCTTTTTTTTGTAATGTGATTCAGGATTACTCTGCGTAATAAAATCTTGTAAGCAAACATCGTATGTATATACGTACGTAAATGGAAACAAAACTTTTAATACTAGATAAACGAGAATAGCAAAGGAGCAGCGATTGTCGGCAGTAAATTGCGGCGAAACACTGCATCGTAAGCGATAACCGTCATAAATTACGACAGATAAATAATCGTGATTTCGATACGCTCGCGCGCGGGCGGCGTCGCGAGCGAAATCAACGCTCAAAACTCCAATTATTTCCCAAGAGGACCTAATAATTAATTTCTCGATGCGCCTGCGTAGTGGGTGCCAGTGCGCGACCCGTATGCATTATACGGACGATGAAGTTAACGGGGGAGGCGAGAAACTTGCTATCCCTATAAAGCCTGTTTCAGGAGAGCTGTTCTGAAACACTAGGGCGTTCCGGGTTCGCGAAATTTGATATAATAATATATGGGAATTCTCTGCACCGTGCAGTCGTTATGTAATCGTTGAAGCGGTTGAGGAATGGTCGAGGACAATTGCTTAGTAGATAATTTTTACGAATTTTTAGTTTGTATACAAGAGATATACGTACATATTTTTTGGCTGATATATGATATATTGCATGTAGAATTTTTTTATACTGATTGGAACTTACGTTTTGTTTATGATTATTCATATTATCACCATGGATCTAATCAGTTGTTATAAGGAACTCGACGCGAAAATGGATAAAGCCCATACCTCGTAAGATCCCCGTTTTAGATATTCAGTAGTATCCATAAATAGATCCTTGCGCGTCTAACAGTCTTAGTTCGCCTACCGTTGCCTAACGGGACGCTTCGCAAATCGTTTGCAAATCCTTATTGTGACGAGCCGCGCGCCTTCACCGTCGTAAATATTTTAATTATCTCCGCCCGCGACTCCCCTGGGATGCCCGCGTGAGTTAATGTGGCCCGGAAAAATCCGGGAAATCATTTTGCCCGCGCGAGATGCCGAAACGAGTAGTCCGCGCTACCGGGATTACCGCGAGCTGCCTTCCTCGACGAATGTAATATTCGTGCACACTGCGGTTCTTGATAAGGCTGTCAGTAATACGCTCTCTTTCTCCCGAGTGCCCTCTTTCTATTTTTCACTTTTTTTTCTCCCGCTCGCTGCATTCTCCCGGCACGGCATTGCCCGCGCGCTCGTAAGAGATACTCATACTCCTTTTCGCGTACGCGATTATCATTAAGATTATTATCGGCAGTGCTTCCCATTAAGCTGTCTGTCTGGAACGCCGCGATGTAAGAGGCAGAGTATTTCCACAAATTTTTCTAAAAATTACACAAGGTCTGTTTGAAGTATCTATATATATGTACCTGTACATATCTCGTTTATCAATGAGGTTTGAAAATATTCAATATGCTTTTTGTGCACAGTACGATAATTAAAATCTTTGTCGTAATTTAGATATAGTTTGTTTGTATTTTTAAATGAAAATCCAATGATTACGATATCTCTCTTTTTTAAATTTGTGTTAATTCTTTTAATTCTTTTAATTCCGCAGTACATTCACATTTGGTACGTTCGCATTGAAATGGAAAGCTTAATTATTCGCTGACTTTCCCCGCGAGAAATTACCGATCCGCTTGCAAACGAATCCCGCGTGTACAATGCGTGCTGCGAGTAATAACGGGATAATCCGGTGGTGAGAATCCGCGAAAAGCACCGACTATCGTGCAAGGAGGCTGGCAAGGAATTTCACTGAGGAATCACTGTACCCGCATTCACAGAGTATATATAACGATTATTTCGCACACGGATAGAGGATGATAAAAAAACGGGATTCATCTCGCGATGATCGCATTAGGAATATCGCGTTCATGTTAAAAATTAATTTTTTGCTCATTAATGGCGAGCATTGTAACTTTAGTATCTTCGTTTTTAATATATATTATTATTAATATATATTATAATATTAGTATATATTATAAATATATATTATTATATATAACATCTACGAGAGATGCAGGAAAATTTTAATATGACAGTTGACAAATAAACAAGCTTATTATAGTTTCAAAATTATTTGTTTCCGAGTTGTAAAGCGTTTTCTGCAGCGTTATCTCTATTTATAATGACATATGTCTTCTATTTATCTTAATACACTCCAGAGTATGTTTTTCTTGAAGAATGTCGTATACCTATGCGCAAAGGTCTTACGAAACATTTCTGAGGCCACTTAAAGAATATCGTGTACAATGCAAGACGGTATATTGCAAAAATCGGAACAGCGGATTCAGAACTGTTGTCAGGAAATATGAGAGAAGAACGTGTAGAAAATTCTTTGAAGAAACGTGCTCAAGTGTATATTGGAATGGACGGCGAACATATCGAATATATTCACTACAGGTAGAATTTGACTATAGAGGAAACGTTTTATAACTCGAAAACAGATGATCTTCGGACCGATGTTTCCTAACTTTTTCCTGCTTGTTTTGTATACTACAAATTCTTGAAAATAGACAGCAACGTTTCCATTCTGCATAGCCGCATTTATTCTATTTAAACGTGATAGATGTTTCGTACATTTATTACAACCGCAATTTGTAGGAATGCGAGTTGCAAAAGTATTTTCTTTTATCTGCATCATTATTTAAATTTAGTATCATTTATTACTTCCTCCTTCGTCGTGCAATCGAATGTGTACCTTTTAGTATCGCTAATTAATCCTGGCAAGAATCTACGCATGTCGGAAGAAGCATCTCTATATGCGTTGCCTCGTTAGTTTTTCGGCGCGGAGATTCGCCGTTGTGTTCCCTGACCGAATAGTTACCCGCCTCGTTGTCTACGATATAATTTACCGCGAGCAGTCGAAACCGGCGCTAATTAGCAACGAGACGTGTATTTACGACGGCTTTACCGAGTCTGCAAATCCTCGCCGACGCTCTCGTCCTCGGCGAACTTTCCGCGTTTACCTCATGCGCGCAAGTTTAGCTTTGGCCGCGATCATGTTTTCACCCTTTCCGCACTCGCGAGACGAAGGGAAACTAATCATTGACACGTCGACCGCGACGACCCAGTCCTGCACTTCGTCGATCCGGGTTATCCCCGACGCGCGGTGCTCGAAATGTTAAGTTTCAAATTTAAGGAACAGTAACTTTACCACGTTTACGTAAACGCGAGCACGTCACATAATTACGTATAAAGCAGAAATGTGTGAAATACGATGTAGCGTAGCCAAGTACGTCTCGTACCTGCAATCTCCGTATAATAAAATGATATAGCGCTCCATTTCAAACACTGAAGTGTCACGAAATGTTATTATACTTATATAATGTCGTAAGATAGGACACACAATCACCTCAGACTACCTCGATACGCGAAACTTTTGAAAATATCGATTCCCCGAGGTGGCTCGCGTGCCACGGCGATACGCGCGCGCGGTGTCGTATCGATCGGATCCACCGTCGGTCTCTCCTCGGTTTTCGTGCCGCGGCTTCCGTCCCGAGATCGATCGATTTCCGTCGTTCGTGTAGCGGCGTGATGGATCGGCCGGGGTTCTTTCCGCGCCGGTAACGACCTTCGTTCGTTCGTCCCGAGTCGTCCTCGGCTTTAGGCGCGCGAGACAGAACGGCCTCAAGATCATACAGCTTTCTCTTCTGGGAAGCAGATCAAAGGGTCGTTCGGATCTACGTACATTTTGAGGCATACAAGTGGAAGGGTTGATATCGGGTATATATCGTAAAAAAAGTTTATGCGACCGAGGGAAAAGATGAATTATATATGTTTAAAAAAAGTTTTTATTTTCTTTCTCTCTTAAAAGAAACTCCTCCTTGAAAACTCCGAACGCCTTCCGTGCGTTCTTGTTCGCCATTCTGATCGGTAAATGTGATATTATTACGGGAACATTTCGAGCGTGTTGAGGCGTGTTTTCCTCGCGAGAGTCGCCAGGCCGCTGCTGTTTTCAACGTCACACCGAGCCGATTTCTCTCACTTAGGTCTTCAACTTCGCGACTTCGTGCTTAACGCGAGATTCCGTTCTAACACGTTCCGGGTACGACGGGGACATGCGAGCATGTATCCGCGAATGCAAAGGGCCTGCTACGCGCTACGGTTTTTTTCACACGATTTACTTTAACAGGCAGATTTGTATAAATTTACGTAGGGCAACCTTGTGTGCTGTCAACATAGAACGCACAGAGAGAACGAAGACGCCGCATTTACATAAACGGGAAACCATGTTGAAACTTACCCTGCTTTCTGGTAATAGTGTTCCATTAACTTCTGTCAGTGTCACATATTACAACCGGATTTCATAATAAGGTTTTAATATATAGCGAGAGATTTGCGTGCTGCTACCAAATCGAGATAAATAAATGCCAAGAGACTGTATTGTAACAAAGAAATTTTACGATTTGTGACCTTGTTTTTAATGATATTTCCGACAAAGTTTAAAGTCAATTTTTCTATAATAAAAATAACAAAAAAACTGTTATTTTTTGTACATTTTTAATTAAATTACATTTAATCATAGATATTTATAATTAAATTTTAGATTAAAATTCTATTAGTCTATTTAAAAGAAACCGTAGAGACAAAAAAATCTTACTTATATATCATATATTTATCTCATTTCCTTTATTTTCTATCTCATTTCATTTATTTTATTTCCAATTTCAGTTCATGGAATATTCCTTTTCCTTTCTTTGGTCGTATCCCGAAAGTAAATATTGATGGTCTGATCTTTTAATTATCGATACTAAATCTATCAAAACATCTGAATTATTAAAATTAAGGTCATAAATTGTTAAATATAAATATTGAGTAAATAACTAGAACAAAGCGTAGTTTTTTAAAGAAAGCTAAAGGTAGATAGCTGGAAAAAGAATTGTATGTTTAATAAAATATAATTTTATCGAATCTTTTTAGCTTACAAATGAAATAGAATCGCGCTTGCGGAAAGCGCGGTTTTGATTCACTTTCAAGCCGGAGATCGATAAAGCGGAGCTCGAATTTGTATTTTCTTGAGCCGCTCGCACTTGTAAGAATTTCTTCGCGCTTCAATTTCTCCTCGCGTGCTCGCACGAGCTGAAACGCGCTGGTACGCATGTTTCCGACGTAAAGGATACGGTAGGTCGACCTATTTTTCCTCGCCTATGTCAAAATTACTCGTAACAGAACGATGTTAACCTACATTTTTAATGCCGATGCTGATGTAAATTTCCGCTGTCAGTCGAACGTCTAACATAACTGCAGCGATTAAGTAGTTGATTATTGTGGCCGACTTTATAGATCGACGGAATATGCTTGAAATGTATACCGAGGATTTAATCGAGCGTTTCGTCTCCTTAATTATATTTCGATTAACAGGTGTCACGTTGGAACTTGAAATGGTCAGACATATCGGAAAATTAGGCATAAAATAAATATCGAAGGCTTTAGGAGCATGTCGATGTTTTTATGTCGATCAACAACTATATCGCAGATTGCGAATAATTGAAAAGCAGAAAAAAATTTGAAAATTGATTCAGTTTCTAATACGAAGAAAATTTAAGAGCTTTATATTTTTAAGAAAAAAAAATTGTAGCGAAATACCATCGTGTCCATCGATTAATAAATATTGCAGCTAGTATTATCATTCGAAAGACGATCTTTAAACGTCGACAGAAAGTTAAGATGAGAGGCCTCGATATCGTGTTGAGATGCATCGAACTGCACATGTATACCAATGAATTTATGCAAATGTTGAAGCGTAAACGCTGCTTATCGCCGTTTTTCGCTCAACGATAGACACGCGGAACGGCAGCGCGCGATCGTCACTATACGGACATTTAGGTGAAACAGGTTTCTAAGATCTTACAAGATAGTCTTCCCCGCGCGCTGCCGGGCCTAGGTATGGTGAGCGAGCGCAAAATTGTTTGCCGCCCCTCTTGTTGAGACCATACCCGTGCCCGTTTCTCCGCAACACCGAGAGCTTCTACTCAACTCCTCTTCGTCGGCGCGGAAACTACTTGCAAACTTTCGGGCCAAGCCAGTCTTCGACGGGAGATGTGGCGCGTGCAGCTGCATCGAGATACATTACCGGTCGAACTTAATGTAAGTACATGCTGCCGGAACAGAGGGATGCTCGAAGAATCTGCCGTATTCTTCGACCGGAAACTGAAACAAGATTTGGTCAAGATATTTCCGAATCTTAACAATTGAAACTGCGCCTCTTTGGCGGTTTTCACGGGTCGTTGTTTTCCGACTCACGATACCGAAATATTTTCACGAATTTATCTTTTGAATAGTAAAATATAGTTTAAAAATAGATTAATTATTATTACATGCAAAGTGTTTCTATAGAACTGTCAGAGAAATATATTTGTTATAGTTTTTTTTTTATCAAGTTGTAAACAATTTTTGTTTTGTGATTATCATTTGTACATTTTTTATAACTAAATTTCAAGTTAAAATTAACCAGGAAAATGTATATAAAATCAATTGTAGAATATAATTTGATCTTTTTTCTCTTGGAACTTAATTCGCTTGGAAATATCTTACTTTTAAATGTTTATTTTCCGAGCAATAAGTATCTTGATTTTTGTTAACAAAAATAGATTGTAATATTAATAATTAGCCAAAGAATTTATAATAAATTTTAATAAAATTTTGATTATATTTATTATTATATTTATATATAGAAGCAATACAGTATCTGTACTTGTGTAGTGCAAAGAGAAAAAAAGATATTTACATGTCATTTTTGGCGCTAGTTGATTTGCTTTTTAGTTTTATGTATTTAACATTTTTATTAACGCTATCACATTTAAATAGCATATAATTGCATAGCGTTGAATAACAGCTAAGTTATGTATAATACGAACGATAATACGTTTTAAATTTATTGAAAATACCGAAAATCATAATCGATTCTCGAAAAACAACGTAATATCAATTGTGTCGAGTTGTTTGTCTATCCGTCCGAAAAAAAATATATGCGGACACGCGTGCACACGTAAAACATACGCGTTAATCGTTATATCAGACACAATTCACTCTCGTCGATCATCCGCGAGTGTTGTTGTGAATTATCTCTCAATAGACAAAACACGCGAGTACCTCGCGATTTAGATTACGAGTGGAAATTATAGAAAATTATGGATCGCGTACGTCCGCGCGGGAAATCTCTCTCTCTCTCTCTCTCTCTCTCTCTCTCTCTCCGTGCTCCGGGATGTATTTTTCAAAGGGACGAGCTCTATCGATTATGCGATTAAAGCCGGTGATGGAATCTTACCATGGGGTGCGATCACGCGATTATTACATTACATACAAGCACACGATTCGTGGACACCTCGCGGACGGGCGGAATTAAATTATTTAGGTGTAAGAATCCGATGGTTGCCGCGCGATAGTCGTAAATCACCGAGCGCGCAGATAACGACGGTGAGAAACGCACGATTTTTATTGCCTATCGTTAAAGCTATCGTCCACCTATCTTCCGAACGAACGATGTGCTCGTTTGATTAAACGCTTGATCGTACCACTGCGTTTGTATAGATATTGTAGTCGCGTAGTATTTCGTACCTCTCATTCATGGCGGAAAGGGACGCGACTAATTTTCGTCGCGCTAAAACGAGTTACATCGATTAATTTGTTTTGGTTTGATAATAAAGTTACTCTCAATTTTTTTCAAACACATTCGAAATCGGCATGTTCATCTCGCTACACCAATTAGCGTTCTGCAATTGAGTCACAACAGTCGACAAGTAATCGAATTGTACTAATTTGAAATATACGAACGTTGAAAGCTTTCGGTTTGACACGAGTGTTCGATTCGAAGTAAAAACTGCGTGTTCTACCCTTTGGACCCATCTCTTGCAAGCAAGCAAAAGATTATCTCCGCCCGCGGGGTCGACGAGCCGCTCGCGTAGTTTCCGGTGGCCCGTGGAGAGTGTCGTTAAAAGCACCGAAGAACACGAAACCGGAAACTCGACGAGCAGTCCAAATGTCCTGCGACAATTGAATTGTCGGCCGAACGTGACCGGAAAGTCGCGTACCGTGATGTTCGTCCTTAAACGCCGGTCGCTCTAGTCGTCCGTGCTCGTTCCGCTTCCGCTCTCTTCTGTCTCTCCCTCTTTCTCTCTTTCTCTCTCCCCTCCTCTCGTGCGCGCGCTGGATCCTTTATCTTTTCTCCGTTCGCTCCGCACTCAGAATTAGCCCCAGGACTTTCCTCTGCATTGACGCTGCATCTCGTAGGTTGAAAGCGATCTTTGAACAGTTTACGTGGTCCTAAAAAATCGACGCGCGTCACGGCTTGTGGAAACGCGAGTGAATCGACACAACGATACATTTTGACGCACCACCGGTTTCACAGTATAAAACCCGTTTACGAAATGCCACATATTAATTCATTTGTAACTTGAACGAGTGTAAATTTTTCGCTCGTGAATACATTGCATCGACCCTTCTGTGGATGATAAACGAAAGTTCTTATACCGGGCAGATAAATAAATCTGTCCATTTATCGATTTGCTTCTTTCACGATGTTTTTGTTGCACGCGTTGATGAGGCGGAACGCGCGGAGAAACTCCGATTGTATCTCTCCTTTTGTTTTGCCTTATTGTATTTTTTTTTTATTAATGACAGAGTAGAGTGTGGCAAAGAGAAGCGCGGTGTGGCTCTCGCGCTCCAACGATCGCGCCGTAACGCGCTAAATGAAAAACGCCGAATAGAAGTTGCTAAGGAGGGAAGGGTTTAATTGCATTTTACGGCGTCTCGCGGACGAGCTCGGGGTGGCTGCACGGGGCACAACACCCCGGCTTTGATTTACGCGATAGCTGTTGCCGTTTGCCGGTTGCGGCGGCCTCTCGATTTAACGTTGCGCTCATCAGGACTTCGGGGCAGGGGGTAAAGGAAGGTGAAGTATAGCGCGGAGGGTGCTAACAAAGGTCGTGCCCGAGGTAAGCCGGAAGGGGGGAGGGGAGGAGGAGGGGTACGCTCGCCGTCGCGAAGAATTTCGCGGTAATAATGGAAGCGCCGTAAGATTAGTTCCCTCGGCGCCCTCGTGGGATTTGCCGGGGGAGTGCGCGTACAAGGATGGAAAAGAACGGACGTCGAAGGAAAGAGAACGAAACTGTGAAACGCGCGGCAAGGCTCGCGCGTAGTCCTAGCACAGTTATTTCACGTCTGGAGCACAAATAACCGGGCATATACGTTAATATTTTAAATTCCCAATACCAAGGTATTTTCGCTTGATGTTAGAACCGACTGATTGCGTTCCTTTGAACGAAAAGTGATACGAAATAAACAATATTGTGATCTAAATGTATCGCACGCACTCTCAATCGCAACATATTCAGTTTCCTTTTTTTTCAGACTATCGCATATACAGCTCACAAACACACACGATATAACAGAGAAGAGTAACGAGTTTTACGATTTAGCTCTTATATAGTATGCTCGCGTTGACCATAGATAAAACGTTTCGCCTGAGTCGGGCCGTGGACTGATTTTTTTTTCTCTCTCTCCTCGTGTCATCGACATACGTCAAACTTCGGGCTTCGTCTTTTTTATTCTGTCCCGCGCGTCGCGACGCGGCGTCCCGATGGACGCGGACGAGCCATTGTTGCTCGACGTTTCAGGAAAAAAAGCTCGCTCGGGTTGC